TTGCTGGGCACAGGTGGCAGATTGCTGAGTCTGTAAAGCGATTTAAAGAAAGCTGGAGGCTCATCTGGCCAAGCAGTGGGCCAGCCAGAAAAGAGCAGGTTAAGCAGGAGGATACAACACATATGGAAGACCAGCTCGCTGCCAGGGACTGAGGACACGCACACGATGGCTCTGCCCTGGCTGAGCAGATAAGCCAGCTCTTCAGCTTGCCTGGCTGCCCGTCAGCCCCTGGCCTCTTGCCTTGTGGTCCTCTGCTCAGCTAGCGCCCTCAGGGGAATCCTTCTGTAGCACCCACCTGGCCACAGCATCTGCAGCCCCAAAGCTTCCCAGCTGCCCAGTGCCCTGGAGTCTGACCCTACTGCACTTAGACACCTGAGACCTTCCCATGCCATGCTTCCTGTCCCTGAGCTCTTTCCCCTGGACCTCCCAACCGTGGCTGTGGCCAGGATCTCCCTCCCCACCCCGGCCCCTAGCCTTCCTGGACTCCCCCTCCTTCCCTCTTCTGGGCTCCTTTGCTTAACCTCCTCGCGGAGTCAGGGATCTGCCCACTCCCAGCTGCCACTAATGGGGGACCTACTGCCTCCTCACTGAACTGAGAGAATTCTGCGATGGCAGAGGCCCAGCTCAGGTTAGCACGGTGCCAGGCTGAGCCCAGAGAGGCACTCGGTGCTGTGGATGAACACAGACACTTTGTCAGCCTTGCCTCCACACCCTCCCTGGTCCTGGAAGGATACATGCGCCTGGTCGATCATGCACTTGCACAGGGTGAAGTCAGTGTGGGGCAGGTTGGTGAGGGCCTTCAGCAGGATCTGGGCGGTGACCGTGGTCTGAAAGAAGGCTGGGTTGAACTGGTACCTGGGAAGGGCAACAAGAGACACAGCGACAGTTAACCCTCCACATCTCTGAGCCTCACCAGGTACCAGCTGCTGCCTGAGTCTGGAGCTTGAGACTTGGGACACAACTGGGCCCCGATTTCACCCAAATTGTCTGGCTGTGTCACCTAAACCTCCGAGTCTGTTTTTCTCAATCTGAAGATGAGGATAGTTAATCCTCACAACTGCCCGACACTTGTCACGTGATTCTTAAAGAAATGAGGACAGATGCAGCAGTACAGAGCAGTGGTTAAGGTCCTGGGCAGGCCACTGAGTTTTAAACTTCTCTGATGAGTGACCTTGGCCTGCTTTTTCTTTTTCCCCATGGTGCTGGGGACCCAGGCCTTTTGCACTGAGCTATTCCCCAGCCCTTTTTAAATTTACCATGGGAAAGGATTTTGATGAGTTGCCCAGGGTCGGCTTGAATTTGTGATCTTCCTACCAGAATGCTGGGATTAGAGGCATGCACCACCATGCCCAGCTTGGACTGCTTATTTAATTCTCTATGCCTCAGTTTCAGAGGAAAAGACTAGGAGTGGCCAGGGATTTAGCTCAGTGGTTCTGCTGCCTGCCATGCAAGCTCAAGGACCCGGGTTTGAACCCTGGTATCAAAAAAAAAAAAAAAAGGACTAGGGGTTTGTAGATCAGTGGTAGAGTATATACTTAGCATGCATGAGGCCCTGGGTTTGATATCAAATAAAACCTACACCTACCTCTCAGGGTGCAATATAACAATTGAGGTAACACACAGAAAGCCTGCAGGATAGCAGCCAGCTCACACGAGTGGTCATCACCAATTACAATCTGAACTACCCCAACACACACGTCTCTCTGTTTTAGGGATGGGAACACAGAGGCTATGTAGTCTATAAAATCTCCTCAGCTAGTAGTAGGTCAAGAAAGCACCCAAAGGGGAAGAAACCAAAAGGGACAGACCATAAGAACACAGCCTGTGGGCCACGGATTTAGTTCAGTGGTTCTGGCGACTGCTTTGCAAGTGCAAGGACCTGAGTTATCTCGGGTGTACCACAAAAAAAAATAAAAAAAAAAAAAAAAAAAAAAAAAAAAAAAATGGAACACAGCCTGTATTCCCAACACTCGGGAGGCTGAGGCAGGACTGATGTGAATTTGAGGCCAGCCTGGGTTACAAAGTGAGTTCAAGGCCAGCCTGACCTACATTGTGAGAGACTATCCAAAAAAAAGTGAAAAGAATAAAGTCACACAGTAGAACACTATGTATCAAAGATAACAAATTACAACCACATTAAAAAAAAATTGATGGGCGTCACAAACCCAGTGGTGAGTAGAAGACGCTAAATGCAAAAGAGCTTATGCTGTATGATTACAGTTAAGCCAAGTTCAAAGCAGACAAAGCTGAGCTAAGCTGATCCGGATGTGAGGGTGAGCGGTAAACAATCACAGCAAGCCAGACTATGACAACAGTTACCAGAATGGGGGCTGCTCAGGGTCTACGCATAAGGGCAGAGGACCTGGGGTGCTAGTAACACTTTAATAAAGTGAATGATGGGTGGTAGGTATATGGGTGTTCATTTGTAATTATTTGTTAAAATACACATTTGCTCATGTATTTAAAAAATTAATTTTAACCCCCAACTTCCTTGGCTTTCTAGTCTTGCACACTAAAGAGAAGCCACATCCTGCAGGTTACTCCAGCACCCGCCTGCATGTTGAGTGGCACCCTGCCAGCTGGGCAGGCACAGGGGGCAGGGACAGGCTAGACACTCACAACTTCAGGACAGCCAGGTTAGCTTCCAGGTCGTAGGCATTCTCCTTGGCCTGGGTCTCCACATAGCGCTCCAGGGTGGCCAGGTTCTCTGGATTGTACCTAGACAAGAATGAAGATGGATGAGCAGAGAGGAGAGAGGAGCTGAGGCCAGTCCTTCTAGGTTGCTAAAAATTCACTGTGACCTGCTTCTCCCTTCTTTTCTTTACCTCTAAATCTAGCCCTGGACATTGGCTTTAACTGAATAATCAGCTCTACAGCCTCTTAGAGAACTTGCCCACACTCAGGCCTTCTTATGGGCTCTACACTCCATTGGAGCCCTGGATCTTAGGATGCCTCCCAACATCAGCCAGTCAATGCAGCCTGTGCACATGGCCTCCTGAACACATCTGTTGCTCACATCTTCTAGGACCCCACACAGGTCAGGACCCATCTCCTGCTTAGGTCAATGCCTAACCTGCCCTCCCCCTTCATCCCTGAATATCCGGGCCTTTGTTTGTCCCAGCCTGGCCTGGCCTACTCCTAGCTACCAGTCTGCTGTCCGGTTCGTCTCCTTTCTGAAAAGGGAACTTAGTCCATAAAAGCCAGACTTGTGATCTTCCAGGTACTAACAGAGTAAACATCAGTGAACCTATGTTGAATGAATGACATGAAGAGCAAAGGAAACTTAATTAAGAGGTACTGCGGCTGGGTGTAGTGATCCCAGCACTCGGAAGGCAGAAGCAGATCTCCAGGAGTCGAGGCCAGCCTGGCCTACATAGTTCAGGGTCAGCCTGAACTATAAAGCGAGCCCCTGTCTCAACAAAAAAAAAAAAAAAAAAAAAAAAACTGTGACTGTGGACGTCAGAGAGGAAACTGAGGGGCTGAAAAAATGAAGAACAGAGAAAGAAACTTTCAGACAATGAAGGAGACTGAATAGTAGGTGCTCTCTTGCCCCTAGGCCTTTACAGTGCTGTCTCCATAAACATCTCCTTCTCCAGGAAGGCCTCATCCCGTGCAGTGATAAGAGAAACCCATCCCCGGAGGGGCACAGGCCCCTGGCCATCCCGGCGGTCTCCGGAAAACCTTTTCTCCACCCCGCTTGGACAGAGCGCAGACCTGTCGATACCCTTGAGCAACTTGCCCACGTTCGCTCTCATCTGCTCAAACATCGCCATAACTACTGCAGCCTTCCACGACCACTTCTAAAGTAGAACACCGGGACGGAGCGTAGTCCTCGAAGACCGGAAGAAGGAAAGCAGAAAACGGAAACGGAAATACGTATTGTTGCCGCTCCGGCTCTGGGGAACCATAAAGGGGAAGGTTCTTCCGGCAGCTGCCACGCTTTCCCGCTGCCACGTGATTTCTTCCTAGCGGGCGTAATTGGCGCGTGCGCATTTGCCCCGCCCAAGCGGGATCGACTGTGAGAAAGTTTAGTCTACCGCAATGCGCAGGCGCCATCTCGGGGCGGGTTTAGCAAATTCCTTTCCCTAGCCGGAGGCGTGCGCGTACTCGTTCAGTCTCCCTGGAGAGTTCGTGCGTGTGCGCTCGTCGTGTGGCGAGTGGTTGTGAACGCTTGGATATTCTGGAATGAACGTAGTAGCACGCGCTTTCGTACACGACTGAGTCCTAAGGAAGCGCTCAGTGAGATCCTCCTGAAGCTCCAGTACAGGATCCAGTACGCTCACTTTCCCAGTTTCAAATCGCTGGGCCTTGGTTGTCACCACCACCCCACCCCACCCCCGTCCCAGTTTCTGGAGTAGGAGCCGATAAAAAAAAAAAATGTGTTCTGCGGTGAAGGAAGGGGTGGGGAGGTGCGTGGCTCCTGGCTGTCTCCGGATCGCGCCCTAAATCGAGGCAGAGGGCGAACGCGCCATGTGTGCCGCCATGAGCTATTCGTGCACAGATGTTCTACACTAAAGGCCTGCATGCACAGGCATGTGCCCTGTGCGTGGAGGTGCGTGCTCGGAATACATCCGCACATATACACACGGGGATCGCGGCATGAGAAACGCACACGCACAGCCCCAGTCCTGTAGGAGCTAACACCTAAGTGCCTGTATGTGTCCTGGTGAGCAGGTGTGTGTGCTACATCCCTGTGCAGACCTGCAACCTGACCTGTGGGTTGTAGCCAAACTCTCAAGCACCTAGCAGAAGTTCAACTAGGGTTTGTAGCCCTGCCCAGAACGGGGGAGAGGTGCCGGGGCACCCCCCACCATTACAAGTAGGATCGTTTGCATCTCATTTACATCCAGCCCTGGATCTTAGGGGTGGAGGGGGGTCCCATGGGTCCCAAAGCAAACAGCCTCCTGCAGGCTGTCAGAGCCCAGGGGACAGGGGGTGGAGCCCGTTGCATAGCCCTGCAGCTGGGGCAGGAAGTGAGGGTGGAGGGGGGTGTAGGCCACAGCCCGCAGAAGCAAGGCGGGCTCAGGGCTTGTGGGGAGGGTAGGAGGTGCCAAAGCTCCAGACCTGAGGCCCTGCTGGCCCCTGGGCCCAGGCCCAGCTCCTGCCTCCAGGGATGGACCTCATGGATCCTGACATCTTTAACAGGGACCCTCGGGACCACTATGACCTGTTGCAACGGCTGGGTGGCGGCACCTATGGGGAAGTCTTCAAGGTGAGAAATCCTCTGTCTCCATCACCCTCAGACCAATGACCTTTAGAGTGAGCCTCAAGAAGGGAACGGGTGCAAGAAGGACCCAGTCCTTAGCATGGCCCAGGGATGCGGACAAAGGCCTCAGGCTAATGGAGCCCCTCTGATGCCAACTTCCCCTTTACAAGGCACGAGACAAGGTGTCCGGGGACGTGGTGGCACTGAAGATGGTGAAGATGGAGCCTGGTGAGAGCAAACCCGGGAACTCCTGCACCCCACCCCCACCTCCTGGGCCCTGGGGAGACCCTCTCCCATAGCTCCTTGCCTGCAGCCGCCTTTTCTCCTCTGCCCCTCCTTGCAGACGATGATGTCTCCACCCTTCAGAAGGAAATCCTCATTTTGAAAACTTGCCGGCATGCCAACATCGTGGCCTACCACGGCAGCTACCTCTGGTGAAGAGCCTCAGCCCACCCCCACCTCCCGCAGGACTCAGCCCAGCCCCCAACTCGGAACCCTCCTTTCTGGCTGGGCAGCCTAGGCGGATCCCAAGTCTTGAACTTTCATTTTTGACCCAGACAGCCTATCTTGACCTCCAGCCTTGGACCCCTACTTTTTTGACCCCCACATTTAACTGGAGTACCCCATCCTTATCTTCAGCCCAATTTCCCACTCTTCTGACCATAACAACTCCTAGTTGGATCCCCAATCTAGACTCCCATTTTTGACTCTGTCTACCAAACTGACCTTCATAGTCACCACTGAAGTCAGCTTTGCTACCACTAATCTCTCACCATTCTGTCCTTTGGGATCTCTCGTTTCACTCAGCTTCTTTAATACGAATTCCTAAATTCTCTGATCCTCAGAATAATTTCCCAGATGCCCCAGTGATGACCCTGTTCCCTAGATCTAGCACCCTGAGGCCCTCTGTCCCATCCAGACGCTGAAGCATGTGAGATCTCCACTGTCCCCTGGGTTAGCCTGGGATGGCAGAGGGGTGCCCTGGATTTGGAGCCCATAGACCTATGTTTGAATCAAGTTGCCCCTCAGCGTACATTTCCTGACTAAGCCTCAATGTCCTCCTTTATAAATGGGACTGGAACAGTCTCATTCTGGTGGACGAGGGGGGAATAGATGAGAGCTAATACATTAGGCTAGAACAAGTCAGTGAGCTGGGGCTGTCGTATAGATAATAACGTATTGCTCTGCTGTTACTATGATCATTATTCCTCTTGGACCACTGTAGGTTGCAGAAGCTCTGGATCTGCATGGAATTCTGTGGGGCTGGTTCTCTCCAGGACATCTACCAAGGTCAGAGGACAGACAGGGGACTCAGGCCCCCCTCACTCCTCAGACCCACCCCACCTGTTTCTCTGTGTCTGTGTCTCTGGAAACGGTCTTCCTGGTCCACATCTCACCCAGCAAGTCCCTCTCTGGGCCTGGACCTCACGGTGACTCTGTAGGCCCTAGGCCCTGCCCTCCCGCACCTGCCAGTCTACTCTGGTATTCTGCATGCAGTGACCTACTCGCCCCCCCATCTTGTTGACAAGCATTATTTGTGTGTTTATGCATTTTCTGGGGCACAGTAGGTGCCCCAACTTTTGTTGAATGTGTGGCTGAATTTCTGGTTCTCTCCTTCAGCCTGGCTTTCAGTCTAGGGGAGTGTGTGTATGTGTGTGTGTGTCAGCAGCGTCTGGTCACCTCTTTGAATTTCTGTGTTTTTCTTTTTGGCAGTCGCACTGAGGTACATCTCCAGCCCTTGTTATTTTATTTTATCTTTTTTCCTTAAATTCTTTTATTGGTACATTTTAGGTATGCAGTATTTTTACATTTGTCATTGGGGACTTGTACCTTTACATGATGTACCTTGGTTCTTATTTTTCCCCCATTCTCTGCCCTCCCTTTACCCACTGCACCCCTCCCTATTTACAAAGACTTTGTTTCCATTTTTTCCTTTTAATTTTTTATTTAATTTAATTTTTTTCTGGTACCAGGGATTGAACTCAGGACCTTGTACTTGCGAGGCAGGTGTGGTTTCACTGAACTAAATCCCCAGCCCATTTTATTTTTTATTTTGAGTCCAAGTATTTTTTTTTTTTTTTTTTTT